GTCATCAAGAAGTAATAGTGCTGCACCTGCGAGATATAGACACCTTTTCTGCAATAAGAGCTTGTTCTCTGGTGTTCAACATCTTGTAGGTCCACAGCAATGCATGAAGCTGGGTGTCGTGCCTGCTATTTATATAGCGTGGCGTCAAGCGGGACCAAATGATACCACGACTGCTTCACTGGTTGTGGCAATGCATGCCCATGCTGGAACTGCGCGTCGTGCGTACAATGCCGAACACTAGACGTAAACAAGGCGCCATCAATACTTGACCTTGCCGGAAATAAGTCGTGTGATAGCGTGCCAGTGCGTGACAACGCGCATCATTTTCGGTCACGCATTGCGTGCCAAGAGCGTAACTTATGAGTAAACAGGACGCGAACAGTGCGCAAACTACGCTTCACGCTTTCATGAGCACCATCAACTGTACACACATTGCCACGACGAATTGCGCGGCAGTCCGGGGGCAAAATTCGTGCAAGAGTCAGGGTGGCATTAGAATTGATCTTCTGTAACCCAAGCTTTTAAGAAGCGACTAACGGGATCAGGTGGTAAGGCACGCTGACTTGGTTGACACATGTCATCGTATCCCAATTGCGCAGATCGATGCCCATGCTGTTGATCACTGGATTGTCTGGTCCGGACTCGATTATTTACAGACTACCGCCATATAGCTGGAATAGTGCTGAGTGCGGCGTAAAACTAAACTTACTCAGGTGCTTCAGCCATACCGAACTAGCTAGCCTGGAGCATGCCAGTTGCGCGTTCCCGTGTTGTTAACCTGGGGTTTCTAATTAGCAGCAAAATCTGCTCACGTGATCGTGGCAATGCACAATGAAACTTTCACGAGACCCCACACACGTTTTCACAAAAGAGCGTGTTGCATTGTTCACCACTATTAAAGTGGCGGGTGAGTGAGATTAGACTTGTCCATGGTATTCCCCTATATTAACTACCTTGTGATTCCCATTTTCCATGTAATTCATTTCACCAAGTGTGAAGTGTCTTTTAGCGTTTAGTAAGACTGCACGGCATAACCGGTATACCGGTTTATCAAACGATACGTATTGCACTGTTTTGTTCTCAGAACCGGTATATAGGGTAATAAAAATGATTGAGGAAGTTGTGTGGGGTTTAGTCTGTAGAAAACAAGCTCTGCGTGTACAATCAATGTCACTCACTGTCAAACACTGAACCACCAACTATATCGCAATACGTATCGGAATACCAGAATCGGAATGAACTGCAATCCATGTAATAAACTGGGACTTCGGGTTGAAACGTATTAATAAATATGTAATAAACTGTGATTTCAGGTTGAAACATATTGATAAACATGTAATAAACTGTGATTTTATTTCGAAACGTATTGATAAACATAAATTGGGACTTCAGGTTAAAACGTGTTGATAAACATGTAATAAACTGAGACCTCGGGTTGATACGTATTAATAAACACGTAATGAACTGGGACTTCAGTTTGAAACGTATTGATAAACATGTAATAAACTGTGATTTCATTTTAAAGCGTATTGATAAATATGTAATAAACTGTAAATTCAGGTTGAAACATATTGATAAACATGTACTAAACTCCGATTTTATTTTGAAACGTATTGATAAACATAAATTGGGACTTCAGGTTGAAACGTATTGATAAACATGTAATAAATTGAGATCTCGGGTTGATACGTATTAATAAACATGTAATGAACTGGGACTTCAGTTTGAAACGTATTGATAAACATGTAATAAACTGTGATTTCATTTTAAAACGTATGGATAAAAATGTAATAAACTGTGACTTCAGGTTGAAACGTATTGATAAACATGTAAAGAACAGTTGCAGACAAATGGTGTCTTAACTCGTCTTCGAAAAAACACACTTGATGAATGAACAAACGTAAGTCAGATTGTAATAAAAAATATATAATGCACACAAGTAAGTATATGTTACAACGAATATGGATTTAAACAAATAATCAGAATACTGATAAATGAGTATAGGCTCTGATCCTAAACGTAAACAAGAAGTAAACTAAAATAGTATAAACATTTCAACATTTAAGTTCATACTTAATTCCATGACTCCACTCCTGTACTGGGTGTAACGGAGGGTGGCCTCAAGGCACGTGTATAATATACTGAGGAGCAAAAGAAAGTATACTGAATTTGTCGTTTGCCGATACAGAAACTTGGAACAACTGTCGTAAAACATGATTATGTCCAGTGGACCTGTTATTTCGGTTAATCCTAGGCCTGTAACCCCCTGGGGCTGGCTCGGGTTTGCCTAATTAAATTACATTTGTGACGTCATTCAATTGTCTGCTCGCTCCGTTACCTTTAAGGAATGGAGCGATGTGTACCAGTTTCAAATTAAAGCCTTCATTTTTTCATTTTGACATTTAATTTTGATAACAGAAATATATCCAATACCTTAAAATAAAGTCATACCTGCTAAAAGTCGTCCGTACAATTCTGACTATATGGGGAGCATTTGTATTTTTCTGTTGTTTTTTCTCATCGACCGCCCGACCCTTCTAATTTTATTGACGACCTCCCCCGCAAAAATCTGTTTTTGTTCATTCCAACACCGCCGATTCAAACCTAAAATGTACCGCCTCGTCATATAAAATGGTTATCTTCTAATCAGCCCCTTAAAGAAGTCCAAAGAACGCGAGAAATTATAATAAGAATTACAATAAATGAAAATCAAGAATATCATTCAGATAATTTTGTCCTAATTCAGGTTTTAGTTTTGTTTTGGGTTTTCCCCCGACCTACCCACCCGCGAAGATGTCTGAAATTTTTGTCGGAAATCGTGTAAACATTGTTTTGTCTTTGAATTTTAATATTTTAAATCAAAATACACCTTTAAACATAAAACCAAGCAGAGGATGGTTCCAGTGCTGAGTAAGACTCATTTCAGGACACCATATTCCCTAACTTGCAGTATTTATTAAATTTCAAAGAGAAGAAATTCTTATTAGAACTTCTGCATAATGCGAATGTTTTCTTATGAATTCAATTACATCTCTAAACATAAAACCAAACAGAGGATGTCTCCAGTGCTGACCAGGCCAGCCCAGTCCATTTTGGGGATATGTGACATCGCTAACTTAAGATATATACAACTATAAATCACACTGAAATGTATAGTTTCTTTTGCTCCTCAACTTCTACAGATGATCACTCTCAACATTTTATACAAACTCTTACATGCAAATAGGACAGAAGCCTTTCAGGCCATTCGAGTTTTTGTTTGTTTGTTTTTTAGATTCGTGAAATTTCAAGGTAAGATCGTTACCATTAAATTTCAACTTAATAAACCCCCCCCCCAAAAAACAAACAAAAAAACACCAAAAAACAACCCCCCAAAAAACCAACAAACAACAACAACAAAAATCCCCGAATGGCCCCAAATGATTCCGTAAAATATATCATTCCATGTGGAAATCATCCTATAATTATATGATCAAAACCAAAAAATAAAAATATATCATATTTTATACTGAAACATTCCTGTCAGAAACACAATCATAGCAAGAGACCCAGGTCGTTCAAAGGGCTTCCAACATAATTTCGGGGCGGTGGGGTAGCCTAGTGGTTAAAGCGTTGGCTTGTCACGCCGAAGACCGGGTTCGAGTCCCCACATGGGTACAGTGTGTGAAGCCCATTTCTGGTGTCCCCAACCGTGATGTTACTGGAATATTGCTAACAGCGGCGTAAAACCAAACTCAGTCAGTCAGTCCAACATAATTTCAGTTACATAGGCTTGTCAGATTCCTACGAGATGGAAGCCTGACGTTATGAAGGTATTAGACGTTCACCAATACTCGAAACTAAACAGCACTGAAATGACGCTGATACACCTTGAAGAATAGTCAGACCAATTCAGAGATTCGAACACCCACGATCAAAAGTCTACAGCTCGCCTAAGGGACGCAACTCTATTAGAGTTGGATGCCGGGGCCAGGTGGGGAGTGAGTGAGTGAGTTTAGTTTTACCCCGCACTCAGCAATATTCCAGCTATATGGCGGCGGTCTGTAAATATTCGAGACAGACAATCTAGTGATCAACCAGGCAATCCAGTGATCAATAGCATGATAATCGATCTGCGCAATTGGGAGTGAGTGAGTTGAATTTTAAGCTGCACTCGGCAATATTCCAGCTATATGGCGGCGGTCTGGAAATAATCGAGTCTGGACCAGACAATCCAGTGATCAACAACATGAGCATCGATCTGCGCAACTGGCAACCGATGACATGTGTCAACTAAGCCAGCGAGCCTGACCACCCGATCCCGTCAAGCGCCTCTTACCAATGAAGATCAATTCTAACCCGGATCTTCACGAGTGCCATCTGGTATCGAAAGCGGAGATAATTATCAATGAGAACAGTTTGCATTATTTACAAACACAAAAGGGACTGATGTAAGGAGATTTTTGGAATGTTGGTTGGTTTGTTGTTTAACGCCGCACAATATTCCAGCTATACGGCCAGACAATCCAGTGATCAACATCATGAGTATCAACCTACACAATATGTCACGGGTATAAAGTTAAGGTCATAATGATGATGAATTCATCGGCAAATATTTTTTAAGCATCCATACTTCGACCAAACGACCATTATCGGGTGCCCAAAAATTAAAGGCGTATTCATTATGGTGAGTCATCCTCCTGAGTGAGTGAGTAAGTTTCGTTTTACGTGGCTTTTGTTCCAGCAATATTTCAACGGGGGGACACCAGACATGGGCTTCACACAATGTACCCATGTGGGGAATCGAACACGGGTCTTCGGCGTAACGAGCGAACACTTTAACCACTAGTCTACCCCACCGTCCCTATATATCTCCTGAATAGTACTGATGCAAAAGTAAGGGTGTGCTGTTTTACAAAGTTGTTTGCTGGAAGTGTGTTTTGTTGAGAGAGAGAGAGAGAGAGAGAGAGAGAGAGAGTGTATGTGTGAAAGAGAGTGAGTGTGTGAAAGAGAGAGAGAGAGAGAGAGAGAGAGAGAGAGTGTGTGTGTGAAAGAGAGTGAGTGTGTGAAAGAGAGAGAGAGAGATGGGGAGAGAGGGTGTGTGTCGAAACATCTTGACGATCCAAAACGATCACATGTAACCAGTTGGTGCAACGGTATTTCTTGCATGTCTTGGACTGAGTTCAGTGGCGTTGTTGCCATAGCGACGCTGCCTTCTCTCATAGAGTTCCTTGTCACTAGGTACCTTCTTGCCACACACCTTCACAAATATTACCTGGAATAGAAATAGACAAACATCAGTAACGGTTTTCATAATGTCGGGGCGGTGGGGTAGCCTTATGGTTGAAGGCCCGGGTTCGATTCCTCGGGTGGACACATTGTGTGAAGCCCATTTATGGTGTCCTCCTCCGTTATATTGCTAGCATATTGCTAAAAGCGGCGGAAAACCATAATCACTCACTCATGTGTCATAATCAGACAACAAGATATGTTTGTGTGTTTGTTTAACGCCACACTCAGCAATATTCCAGCTATATGGCGGCGATCTGTAAATAATCGAGTCTGGACCAGACACTCCAGTGATCAACAGCATGAGCATCGATCTACACAACTGGGATACGACATGTGTCAACGAAGTCAGCGAGCCTGGACACCCGATCCCGTTAGTCGCCTCTTACGACAAGCCTGGGTTACTGAAGAACAACATACGGGTTCCATTTAAGAAGCATTACTGGTTGCACCTCATTTCTCATAAGTAAATCTAAGTGCGAGTATGCATGTTCTTGTGTGTGTACGTGTGCGTGTGCGTGTGCGAGCGTACCATGAGCACTATGAATCCTAGCCCAGCAAGCACCGGGACATACCAGTGGGCGATGAGCCATTCCTTCACGCTCTGAAGATTCTCTGGAGACAGTAGCTTCTTTATAGTACTGAACGTTCCAGTCGGGTCCACCTGGAATGTACGTTAGCCTGTCAGTATGACGCTGTCTGATCCCGATAATAACACATATATCATTGTCAATGATTATTATTATTATTATTATTCATTTATCACCGTATATAACATGATCATCGAAGTTAGTTATCCTGCCAATACACCGCACCCCATACCCTTAGCATAGTTAATAACTTATCATCAAAGGCAATAACATGTATATAACATACATCATTGTTAAAAACATATAGCAGCACCGTTATATAACATATATGACAGTTTATAACATATATCATCCTTGCATCATCCTTAATAACATATAGCATAGTTTATAACATAATTCATCATTGTTAATAGCAAACAGCATCCCCGTGAATAACGTATGCCTCTAATAACAGATATCATCATTGATTATATGTGTTTTGTCGTCAATAACATGTTGTCATTTATAACATCATCATGTGTTTTTCTGTCAATACACCACACCCTACACTCGTTAAAGTAACATATATCATATATATTCTATATGATAAGTTGTTTACTGGTCTCGAGAGGGACATGGGCTGATGTACCCTCATTGTTTGTTTACGTTCCCTGAGCCTGAAGGGCGTGGGGAACGATAAAAACATCGAGTGCATCATCTATAAACCCGAGGACCAGTGAATAACATATTTATCTTACCAAACACCTCATTGGTAAGTTTGAACTGTTTGAAGCACGGTTATCGTATCATAGCATGGAGTACAAGACGACAAAGAAAAAGCAAATTTAGAGTTATCCCCTTCAACGACTTGCATTCGCAAAACATCGGTAATTTCCGTACATCATACGCGATTCAATGTTATAAAGAAAGAATTACTATTACGAAATACCAAATGAGTTCGACATACCCAGCGGGGTACATAGAAAATGTTTCGCTCATATGAAAATTACGCTCATATGACGACGTGCATGCTTGTGTATGTGTATGTGTGGCTGCTTGTACTAGCCCAGACTTAAGCTGGTTTTATAGTGCTAACCCACTGAGATACCATACCGCAGTGAAGCACTCAGACACATTATGCTAAATCCGAGCCATTAATGCCGAGCGCGAGGCAAGCACCATCAAGTACCATATTTTAACGTCTTTTGGTATGACGCGGTCGGGGATCGAACCCGCGACCTTCCGCTCTCCGGGCGGACGCTCTTACCACTACACCACGGAGGCGGTCCGTATTAGAGGGAATACCGTATCATCAAGATACGTGCTACAGTCACCACCCCTTACCCTACACATATGTCATCAAAATAATATGACTCTCTTAAGGTAGCCGAATGCCTCGTCCCCGACTTTAACATTTATTTTATGACAAATATGTTTACCTTCATTTCGTTGGTTGAACTGTCACTCGTACGACTTGACACAACGTTATGGTGACCTCACATGAGGTTAATATAGAGCCCGTAAGTAGGTCACGGCACTTCGCGAGACCGGTGACAAACAACGTGCACTTGGTCCGGTCTAGTAACGTTATATTTGACGGTTGCGCAATTTGGAACCAGAACTGGTTCTTTAATATACTCTTGTTACCGGAAATCTGGTACCGGGAGTAAGCTAGGTCCCGTCTAGAATAATGCAAGTTGGCGGGAGCCGGGAACCAGCTTAGTACCGGACATAGTGCCAACTGACAGACATGAGACCATTTGAAAAGGAATGAACTTTTTTTATCACCGGACAACGCAATGCCCCGCAGAGTGCCGTGACCTACTTATGGGCCCTGTTGCAATACGCAGACCCCACGTAGCTATAAATAGAATGGTAAACTCATAACATATACTCCTGGTCTAACATGTCTGTTGCACATGATAGCCATCGCTACGTTCCTGTGACGATACTGATTTCGAGTTGCTTCCCTTGCCAATCAATGACAGACGAGACAAGACGGTTGAGTGAGTGAATGAGTTTGGTTTTACGCCGCTTTTAGCAATATTCCAGCAACATCACGGCGGGGGACACCAGAAATGGGCTTCACACATTGTATCCATGTGGGGATCGAACCCGGGTCTTCTGCGTGACGAGCGAACGCTATAACCAATGGGCTACCCCACCGCCCCTGGAGACGGTTGACAGACGTAAGCAGACTGTAGTAGTTTTATCACACTATTGTAGCTTTTTGCCATATGACAAAACAGGTATTGACTTCACTTTCGGTTGATCCAATTATCAATCGTCCTTGGACAAGTGATATTCACTATTATCTTACCTCACACATAAATGTCGCTTTCTGATTGGCTGAGCGCTCTTCTATTATTTTCAATGTACCCCGGTGTCAATGGCAACTCATTTGGTACTTCGTGGTAGTAATTCTTCATCTCGAATTACATTGAATCACGTAATGATGTACAGAAATTACCGAAGTTTTGCGAATGCAAATCGATGGAAGGGAGATAACTCTAAATCTGTTTTTCTTGTCAGCAAAATTTAGCGATGGCTACAAAAAGATTTGTACCCGTGCTTCAAACAATTCAAAATTTCCATTTAAGTGTTCGGTAAGATAAATACGTTGTTCACTGGGCCCTCAGGGCCTCAGGTTGATGTACCCTCGATGTGATGGGTTCCCTGAGCCCAGGGAACATAAACAAACATCGAGGGTACATCAACACACGTCCCCCTCGAGACCAGTGAACAACTTATAAGGTCGAAAATGAAGTCGTTTCATGTCGTCTCACGGTTTAAACCAAATATATACACAATATGAAGAAGTACAGTCACGATTTAAACGGTTGTATTTCCGGGTTAGAATAACAGACTCATCGTCTATTACAGTTACAATGGGTGATCAGAATCGGTGATTTGATTAACGTCGGGTCATCGAACCCAGACGTTGTGCATCGTTACTCACGCTGACAGTCACCGGATCATCTGACCCAGGGCTTCACACACTGTACCCATGAAGGTAATCTAACCGGGTCTTCGACGTGACGAGCGAACGCTTTAAAAAACACGGCTACCCCACCGCATGGTATCTCAGTGGGCTAGCACTTTAAAACCAGCTTCAGTCTGGGCTAGTACAAGCATCCGCACATACACATACACACGCATGCACGTCGTCATATGAGCGAAATATTCTCAAGCACGACGTTAAACCCAATTTCACCTCACCTCACCCCACCTCACCTCACCTACCTCTCTGCACCTGTAAAACACGTCACAGTACCCCTGGAAGTCATTGCAAGGGCTGCCGGGAACGGAGGTGCCGTTTGGGACGCCACTGATTTCATACGAAGGTCTGCAAAGGAATGAATTCGGGTGATTTGTTTATTGGATTTTAAATATTTTAAATTCTGCTTTTGATTGCCTGTTTTGTCGAAGATATTTTTCAGAAAGTTCATTCAGGAAACATTCCTTGTTTGATTGGACCGGTACAGGACTTATCGAAATAAGTCGTTATTGAAAATGTATCTTTGTGTCATCGCAAAAAATGAAATGAGCCTGATGTTGATCCTTACCCTTGCGGTGGGGTAGTTTAGTGGTTAAAGTGTCCACTCGCCGGGTTCGATTCCCCACATGGGTACAAAGTGTGCAACCAATTTCTGGTGTCCCCGCCGTGATATTGATGGAATATTGCTAAAAGCGGCGTACAAGTAAACTCACTCACTCACTTACGCTGACATGCGGTGATGGTGAAATGTTTCACAAACTGACGGTAAATCTAAGATGCTTATTTGTTTTAGCTGAGACACAGTGATAGAACTGAAATATTGTTCGAACTGACGTTAAACCTTACCACACCTATCTCTTGTTCATACAGTTTTCCCAGAAATTATTGATAAAATCTTTATTTCCTAATACTGAAAATAGAATTTTAAAATAGGTGTAACATTATGTAGTGAGGCACTCAAAATGGGAGGCAACTGTTGTAGGTTTAAGAATAAACCTTACTTCATCAAGAGTTATTTCCCCTGGTGTAGCAGACGGCTTCCTTTGTTAATATGGCAGATTCGACAGCAGAAGGGAAAAGAAAGCTTGTTGTAGTTAATTTGATGGGGGTGTGATTAATACAAAAGAGTTAGCTGGTAGGCATGACATTTCTCTGTCTAGAGTATACAGAAATGTGAAGAATATTCAGACAGGGGTTGGGATTGAGACAGGGAGACCAAGGACATTCAGTACTACGGATCGCCGGCGACTTGGTCAGATTGTGAGTAGGGGAAAATTGAAAAGCCTTGAGAATATCAGAAATGAGATGATTAATAGAGGAAGTCCTCCGGTATGTAATGAAACACTTACACAAGAATTACATAGACTTAACTGGGTGAAACAACGCGGAATTCCCTCGCCGTTGGTGAAAGATGCACAAAACGAAAACGTTTAAACTCACGGCTCACGAAAATTAGGACTGGGATAATGTTTTTTATTTCTGATGAAAGTTTTGTCTGGCTTTTTCCGAACTGTGTGAAAATTTGGGCAAAGGATACCGTGAGACCTATCTACCAACGCCCAAAACATAGCCCGAAATTTTATATGTAGGGTGGACTATCATCACGTGGAGTGACGCCTTTGTGTACTTCCACTGGAAATTTGACGAAGGAATGATATGTTGACATCTTAAATGATCACCTCCTTCCAGCGGCCCGAACACTGTATGAAGGTAATTGGTTATTCTAGCATGATAATGACCCAACACAGACTGCGGGCTACTGTGATGGGACTAATGAAGGACAGTGAGTGAGTTTAGTTTTACGCCGCACTCAGCAATATTACAGCTATATGGCGGCGGTCTGTAGATAATCGAGTCTGGACCAGACAATCTAACGAAGGACAGAATAAACAAAATATGACTTGGAAATATTGAGGATATGAAGAAAGAAGTGGTCGAAAATTTGGATACGCCGTCGCACGATTTCCTACAAACTTTGATCGGTAGTGTACCAAGCCTCATTCAGTCGTGTATTGCAGGGCAAGGAGGTCTGACAAAGTACTGAAAAGACACTTAGACTGTAAGAGAATATCTCAACATATTCATTTAAGTAAAACTCCTATAGTTTATACACATGTATTACTTATTTGTGGAAACACCTATCTCAATAATTTCTGAGAATACTATATAAAGGATACAAGTAGTGGTGCTAAACTCACTCACTCACTCACTCACTCACCACGCACGCACTCACGCACGCACGCACGCACTTACTTGCAATGTCCGCCGACCTCACAGCAGATCTGACACAGCAGTTCATCCTTCCAGTTGCCTGCTGTAGCCGGTGTACATTGACATGGCGGGTAGTCGAACGCCAGACACACCGACCCAGAACAAGTCTGAACAATTGTGAAAAATAATTGTCAGATCAAACGTATTTATTCATTAGCATGTGGACAAACTTTCTGTTTGATCGGGCTGTTACAGCTTTATCGTAACAATACATTTCTTGAAAACACATTTTCGTGCCATCGATTGTTTGATAAACCTTATTTGCTAACAGGCAGGAGGACAAAGCTTCTCTGTTTGACCGGGTGGTTATCAATACGCAAAAATTCGTTATTGAATACGTATTGAGAATACGTCATCGAAAAATGTACAAAAAAAATTCAATCAGCTTTATGTTATCGGATTTCGTCATGTTATCAGAAATAGCGTTTAAGTTGATACTGACATGGCGAATTGCTAGAATAGTATTTCCCTATCAATTGTTGAATGGCATACTTACACCGTTCACACACACTTGGTTGTCTCCGCAAGGTGTCTTGTTTGGCACCCACGTTGACGTCGGACAGTTGGCTGAAGCCCCAGTAGACGAGTGAAGGACATTGTGGAAACAAATGTGTATTAAGATTTACCAATATTTCTTAATGTTGCTTGTGTGCCTACATACATACTCACTAAAGACCCGGGTTCGATTCCCCACATGGGTACAATGTGTGAAGCCCATTTCTGGTGTCCCCAGCTAAAAGTGGCGTAAAATTCACTCACTCACTCAATACAGACTTCAAATTGCCTCCGCCCGGAGCGAGGAAGATCGCAGGTTCGATCCCTCGCTGCGTCATACCAAAAGACGTTAAAATATGGTATTTGTTGTTATCTGCCTGGCGCTCGGCATTAATGGGTACATGGACTGGTCGGCTTGGAGTCAGTATAATGTGTCTGAGTTGGGTATTAATGATTAAGTCCCGTGAAGGTCCGGGTTAGAACACTGACCTTCAGTAACCCATGCTTGTCGTAAGAGGCGCGCCGACTAACGGGGACTAACGGGGTTCCCTATTGGGCAAATTGATGATCATGCTGTTGCTCACTGGATTGTCTGGTCCAGACTGAATTATTTACAGACCGTCTCCATATATAGCTGGATTATTGCTGAGTGCGGAGTAAAACTATATACACTCATTCACTCACTATTCATGCTAAACTGCGGCATGGTATCTCAGTGAGCTAGCACAATAAAACCAGCTTAAGTCTGGGCTAGTACAAGCAGCCACACATACACACGCACGCACGTCGTCATATGAGCAAAATATTCTTAAGTACGATGTTAAACCCCATTCCACCTCTCCCCATCTTAGGTGAGGTGAGGTGAGGTGAGGTGAGGTGAGGTGAGGTGAGGTGAGGTGAGGTGAGGTGAGATGTCTCGAGCGTGTGGAGGAATGCGTTAATTTCCACATGAAATTCGTTTTGGTGACATTAAATGCCAACTATAATTACGTGGTCAGATGAACGTCGCAGAACCGTAATGAATGGTACAGCTAAAGCGGCCATTTATATACATATACTGCTGAAATATTGCCAATGTCGTTTGTACGGAAGGATATTCGCAGGACGCTTCTGCCAGACAGGAGGTCGTGGGACGGCAGACGTGGTTGGCGGCGGTAGTGACGTATTGGCAGCTGGAGTCACAACACGGGCCTGAGCTGGGGCTGTAAACATACAAAATATCAGGTCTGAGAAATAAAAACAAAGAGTGTTATGTACTTTGTCAAAATTCTATTTCGGATACGTGAGTGGTGCACACGTGAAGATCCGGGTTAGAATTGGTCTTCAGCAACCCATGCTTGTCGTAAGAGGCAACTAACGGGAGCGGGTGGTCAGGCTCGCTGACTGGGTTGACACGTGTCATCGGTTCCCAATTGCGTAGATCGATGCTCATGTTGTTGATCACTGGATTGTTTGGTCCACACTTCTTTATTTACAGACAGCCACCATATAGCTGGACTATTGCTGAGGGCGGCGCAAACAACAAATAAACGTGTGTGGTGCAGGTAGAGCGTTGTGAGTGAAAAGTGAGGTGTTTGCTCGATAGTTGGGCTGAGAGTTTCGTTTTAAGCTGCTTTAGCAATATTCCAGCAACATCACGGCGGGGGGACACAAGAAATGGACTTCACACATTGTACCCATGTGGGAATTCGAACCCGGGTCTTCGGCGTGACGAGCCAACGCTTTAACCACTGGGCTACCCCACCGCCCTCGGCAGTTGGATGTGGCCGAGATGGGCGTGTGTGCTGGTAGTTGAGGAAGGTGTTGTAAGGATCTGAGGTGGGTGGATATAGCGGTCAGATCTGGGGTCTGACCTGCAGACTGACGCGGCTGTCTTGGTGCAGGGTGTAGGTGCTCCTGCAGCTGATGTCTGGGGGTTGCAGCATCCTTCAGTACAGTCCTCCTCCCATCCACAGTCGCACTCCTCACCCTCCTCCACAACCTTGTTGCCACAGATAGACCCCATCGGCTCTGGAAGATACACAGCAGGGTCAGTATCCATGTAAAGCTTTAATCTGGACAGTTCCTCCTTTCTGGGAATCATCTGAATCCACTGAAACATTGCTGTGTATGGCTTTAAACAACAAACAAACATATCTTGCTGTCTGACTGACTGACTGAGTTTGGTTTTACGCCGCTTTTAGCAATATTCCAGCAACATCACGGCGGGGGACACCACAAATGGGCTTCACACATTGTGCCCAAGTGGGGATTCGAACCCGGGTCTTCGGCATAACGAGCCAACGCTTTAACCATTAAGCTACCCCACCGCCCCCTTGCTGTCTGATGATGATGACACATGAATGAGTGAATTTTGTTTTACGCCGCTTTTAGCAATATTCCAGCAATATCAAGGCAGGGACACCAGAAATGGACTTCACCCATTGTACCCATGTGGGGGAATCGAACCCGGTTCGTTGGGGTGACGAGCGTACGCTTTAACCATCAGGCTACTTCATCGCCCAACATACTGACTGAACGCTGCGTTCTACTAAGTTGCTGCTGCAGATAGAACACATTGGTTGTCGTGTTTAATGTGAACCTTTATTTTAGACAGCCCCTTTCCAGTGTGATTCTCTGGATGAAGACTGAGCCCCTACCTATCTCCTTATTACGTCACCCACTGTCATAAAACAATGGGTGTAAATGATCTATCTCACCAACAAAACAACCGGATGCTGATCTAGCCTTTGATTCCAATATTGGCGCCATGCTAGCAATGCTACAAGTTGAGAATTCGTCATTGTTTGCTTGCAGCCCGGATGTTGCTCTGGCATACATGATGTAGTTCCCGGATGTACCGCCGGGTGCGCACGCAGTTCCTTCAGTGTCGTGCTGAAATGACAAGGAAGAATATGCTTTTCAAGTGCTCCGAGGTATGGAAATTCATTCCAGTGAGTGAGTGTGTTTAGTTTTACGGCGCTTTTAGCAATATTCCAGCAATATCACGGCGGGGGGCACCAGAAACCCATGTCGGGAATCGAACCCGGGTCTTCGGCGTGACGGGCGAACGGTTAAACCACCAGGCTACCTCACCTCCCCGGAATTTCACAGTAGCGTCTCTTACTCGTGTCTGTTTCAGAATGATGGAAATTCAAACTAGGGTCTGTTTCAGAATGATGTAAATTCTAACTGGGGTCTGTTTCAGAATGATGGAAATTCAAACTAAGGTCTGTTTCAGAATGAGGAAAATTCTAACTGGGGTCTGTTTCAGAATGATGTAAATTCAAACTAGGGTCTGTTTCAGAATGATGTAAATTCTAACTGGGGTCTGTTTCAGAATTATGTAAATTCAAACTAGGGTCTGTTTCAGAATGATGGAAATTCAAAGTAGGGTCTGTTTCAGAATGATGAAAATTCTGTTTCAGAATGATGAAAATTCTGTTTCAGAATGATGTAAACTCTAACTGGGGTCTGCTTTAGAATGATGTAAATGCTATTTAGGGTCTGTTTCAAAATGATGTAAATTCAAACTAAGGTCTGTTTCAGAATGATGTAAATTCTAACTGGGGTCTGTTTCAGAATGATGGAAATTCAAACTAGGGTCTGTTTCAGAATGATGTAAATTCTAACTGGGGTCTGTTTCAGAATGATGGAAATTCAAACTAGGGTCATTCATAATCGAGTCTGGACCAAACAATCCAGTGATTGACACGATGAAGATGGATCTATGCAACTGCGATACGTCGACACACCCTCACACGTCCACCTTGTGGTTTATAAAAATAATGATTTCAGATCAGCTATTAGCTATAATTTAGCATTGTTGGAGGGTGGGGTGGGGGTTGGGGTTGTCTTATTTATTATTGAATGAAAAATGTCGCACCTTTTATACTTATTTGAAATGAATACCCGGATTTTAAAAAGATGGTGGGTATCTAAAAGTATAGATACCCACTTGAAATTAGAAATACCCTCTTAGTTTAAAAAAATATGGGTATCATACCCACATGGCCTAAAGCTTATCTGGAGCTCTGGGACCTATATTTCGATTCGGGGTTAGGACACATCCCCAGAAACTGGGTCCTGATAGCTGATACAAACATAGGATAACTACCGGTGAACCAAAGTTGTGGCCGATCTCGTGGGCGAAGGTCAGTTGAGAGACCAACGTGGACACTGTCTTGCCGTAGTTGAGTGTCGTCACTATGCCGGTGTTCAGGCTGAGACTACCCTGAGCAAACGTCTGGAAATATACACTGTAGGAGTTAGATGAAAGGAAGATATAATGAGATCATAATGTTACAATATCTTCATTTTTTACCATAATTTCAGGCTACACTTGAAAAAAAACAGCTTAATCTTTTGTGTTTTCTTCAAATGGAATGTTTTTACATGCACATATTTAGGGATCCATGAATCTATTTATTTGCAAATGTTGTCATTTCCTTCTGAACTGCCGAGCAAGAGACAATCTACATAGAGGTGACAAAACTCTGAATGTGGAAAATATTCCAACTAAATATTTTCAAATGAAACGAAAGAGAGATAACTCTGTCACGACTACCTTATAGATGAAAATAAGCGATTAACAATATTCACTTGAAAAATAAAACTAATCTCCAGGACAACGAAATTGAATTTTAATTATCCACAAAACTAACATTTTGGTAAAAAACTGTTTGAATGGAGTTGTAACGTTAATTCAAAATATCGAGTTTGCAACAGAAAGTTCCGTATTATGACGTCACTATCGTTGAATAACCTAGTTTGGTTACATAAAACCTGTTTCAAATAACCCACCTCATCTCATGAAGATATTCAGAACAAGTGTGATGTAAACCAAGTTATTATCCATATGGTGAAACATAAGCAGTGTCATATATAGCATATGTGCACATGTGCACATGTGCACATATCACTTTTGCCTAGCAACCATTGTTTCTCTATTTCCTCGGAGGGTGACAACTGGAAAAAATATTACCCGCTGCCACGGTAACCGCCAAGCTCTCTGCAGAGAAGCTGAAGAGCTAACAATCGTATGACGTCATAATATGACACATGCCGTGCCCGGAGTTCGAAAACCGGTCGATCAGCTTTTTTTGTGTTCACTTTGTACAGATATATTTTCCCGACTTTCACTGCTTTATTTAAGCTATTTTATACATTGAGTGGTTTGCACACTCAGCTTAAACATAATTAAATTTTTTTATAGCAGTTTTATGCTTGTCAGAATATGTTCACTGATGTTAAAAATCCAGTCGAGAGGCAGACGCCATTTTGTTTGCATGTCATATAGTCGGTAGCGATCTCCTTACATAAAATAAAATGATGTTTTGTACATTTAACATGGCGGTAAGATAACATGTTGTATGCAAGCTTCGGTCGGTAATACGGTCTGATGTACCTCTTTGTTGCAGTCGGGTGACACTGCTACAAAGAGGCGTACATCAGACCGTATTACCCTCGAGAGAAGCATACAAATTATAGTGTAATACCGCTAGACGTATGACGTCATAATGTTTTACAGTTATGACGTCACAATGCTAATGCCTCTGTCACAATGGTATTAGACCTTCCTTGACTCGCGAAAAGTTGAGAGGCATCACACTGTAGGCAGTTTCTATCAATTTATGTTGGAGAGTAATAATAAACTCGCTTCCGTGAAATATCATTTTCATTAAACTGGCGTAAGATATATCAAACTCGCTTTCTCTCGTTTGATACCAAATTATTAACTCGTTTAATAAAAATGGTATTACACGAAAGGTCGTTTAGCATCATCTCTTTACAGCAACAAACAACTCATAGTTATTATGTGGTGTAGTACTTGATGCTGATATCACAGCTACCTGTTGGACCTGACCTTTGCAGTGTTTTGGCGACTGTTTTCAGTCAAATAATTTTCATTGCCTTTTGGTAAAATCGAATTTTGGAAAACTCTTTTGCGGTATTGTATATTGTATTATTTTTCATGAAAGGTAAATATCATAAGTTGTTCACTTGTCACGTGGGGACATGGATGATGTACCCTCTATGTTTGTTTATGTTCCCTGAGCCTGAACGTAGAGGTACATCAACCCATGGGACCTGAGGGACCAATGAACAACATAGTTTGTTAATTTCGAACTGTTTGAAGCACGGGTATTGGATCAAAATAAGGAGTACCAGAGTTAGACAACAGCCCAAACACTACTAACATGAAGTACCAAACGAATTACAATAGTTCGGCGTTTCCTGTGGGTAACATAGAAAATGTTACTCGCTTGTAAGCTCAGCCAGTCAGAAAACGACATTTATGTATGAGTGAAGATGTTAAATGCTCACATCGTAACAGCTTTTCATGACATACGCATACATTTGTGAAATTGGGGAAGAAAACTTGATTTTGAGAACATCCAGTCCGAACGATATTTAGAGAGTAAAACGGAAGCATGCAAAGAATGTTCAAGCTTATTTTACCGTATATTTCACACACGCCTCCCGACTGCTCCCCTCCCCTGCCGTCCACGCCAGCCCCAGCACCCCGCCGCTGAAGTCCCTGTGGGTGAACATGTACGACAGACAGAAGCTGTCGTAGTTCTCCTCGGAGTGGAGCTCCAGGAACTTCTCCACTCCGTAGTTTCCGTTCAGTCTGTACGTCGGGTCGCTGGTGTTCGTGTGCACCTTGATCTTCTTGATGATGAAGTTGATGTTGTCGGCGTTGCCGTCGCCATCGAAATCTAAACAGATCAGTAAAACATCGTTGTGTCGGAGTTAAAATGACCTCCGTAATTTCTTCGAGTTATACAAGGTTCGACACAACCAAAATATGACAAAAAATAATCGATTCTGGACCAGACAATCCAGTGATCAACATCGTGAGCATCTATCTACGCAATTGGGATACGATGACATGTGTCAACCAAGTCAGTGAGCCTGACCACCCGATCCTGTTAGTCGCATCTTACGACAAGTATGGGTTACAGAAGATCAATTCTAACCCGGATCTTCACGGGTACGACAAGCATGGGATGCTGAAGACCAATTCCAACCTGGATCTTCACAAGTATATATTATTTTCCAATTTGCTAATACGAAATGTAATCACTGTATTACTTTATAAAGAGGGGGACGGATAATAATGACAAATATTGTACAACAAAACACGCACTGATCTTCAGGAATAGGTTGAAATGACCTACCGATGGCTCCATATATGGCATTAACTGTTTGTACACTCTGCGAGAGTTCTTCAATGATGCTGTCTACGTCACTTCCGTGTTGTTGAAATATGACGTGATCGGCCTGCATGTACAGTTCGCACGTGGTTTTGGTAGGAACAATAGCCCGCTTTCGTCTTGTATGATCATAATGGAGGTATTTTTCTGACCAATCAGAATGCGTATCGTTATCTTTCGACCAATCGTATGTTCCTGTGTCATCGTCCTGCCCAATATCTTCGTCGGAATTCTTCGTCGCACTTTTCTGAATTGTAAGCAATCGTTGACTGTGTTTCTCGGCTCCACAGAAGGCACTGTCTATGTCAAACTTCACATCCGACTTCCTATACACAACGGAATGGAATTCCTGAGGTTCTTCAAAATATTTTTTGGCTTTCTCAACAACATAGAACTCATCACCGGTGTCAATCGTTCCCTGAAAATGCCCCGTCGTTGTAATGATTCCATTAACGGTTGGCCTGGAACCATATCCAACTGTAAAAAATAAAGAGCAGAATTAATAATAAAGAAAATCAAGTTCGGTCTGACATATCGGCAAAGTGATATCTGTCCATACTTGATTTCTCCCGGCAGTTCCAAAATATAATCCATATAATTTCCCCCACCCCCAACCCAACACTTCCCTCTCCAATTAAAAAAATTGAAAGGTGACAACCATTATTGGCATGAGTATATATATACGATTTGGTGAAATCTTTATCCCGCCCTATTCGCCAAACCATTCTTTTTTTCTACCCTTAATCATATTTTGTTATAAATTCCCTCTTATACAACCATTTATCAGCTGTGTTTAAAAATATTTACACATTATTTCCCGAAATTGCTAATCAAATGCAAATTTTCCATACACATCCAAATACAATCAACATTCACAAAAGCCTTGGTAACAAGATTACCGTATCATGGAGTATGTTCACCTTTTCAACAAATTACTGATTTATTTTAAATTTCAATACCCTCCAACATGTTAAAAATGACGATTTTGAACATGTTTTCTTGGACCTTTACACATCCACATATCTGTACACGTTGTCGTCACCAAAGTACTCATAATAAATTATTATGAAGAAAATTAACCTCCAGTATCTAAAAATGAATCCACACTGATAAGTTACTGTGCAAATTTAATTGGGCTGGTTAAAAAGGTCCATGAGTAGAGATTATGACCTCCCTTTTCCATATCTTGCCCCGTTTCATCCCGAGACACCCTTATCTGACTGAGGCCGTCAGCCCGAGGTCAGATATGGGTCGAGGGACGATATGGGCCAATATATGAAAAATGGAGAGTCATAATAGTTTTATCACTTATTCTAAGATGCCTAGCGGTTAGAACAATCGAAAAAAAGTACATTATCAGACAATAAAGGTATAGTTTTTTGATGACGTAACAACTGAATGGCGTTATCCCGTCACTGCGCCATTCTAGTGTGCCCTCTAGTAATCGAACCATTTTTACATTACGTCACAATGTGTGACGTCACGATGCATGTCAGTAGTCATCGCTTCGTACGGCCTCCTACAGTAAACTACCCGTTGCATCCCGTTTCTTGGTTTGCAGTTGCTTCACGCAGCTAACATCACTGGTGAAACATTACGTTTATGTTTTAGGACGGTTAAAGCGCCCCGTACTTTAACTATAATAGTTCAGGGCGAAAGTGTGTTTTATTGCACTATACATGGTGGTAGAGCGAACTGTATTTCTTAAATACTAACCAAACATTATAAACCGACAGTGACGTCCCTCTATTGTTCTTAGGGGACACTTTTTCTCGTAATATCCCTCAAATCTGATACAATCTCGCTTCCTCGGGCAATTATCTAAATAAAGGGGGCGGTGGGGTAGCCCAGTGGTTAAAGCGTTGGCTCGTCACGCTGAAGACCCGGGTTCGAATCCCCACAAGGGTACAATGTGTGAAGCCCATTTCTGGTGTTTCCCGCCGTGATGTTTCTGGAATATTGCTGAAAGCGGCGTAAAACCAAACTCAGTCAGTCAGTCAGTATCTTAATAACGTCCCTCTGCCCGGGCATTTTCTGAGGAATAGCCCTTGAATTATTACTTGTTTTGAAGATTGATAGACTTTGTCTTACCATCACTGAATGCGATCTTAAAATATGATATTATTGACAATTACCAACATGTAGTACCGACATCCGGTTTCGAACCCGCAACCCTTCGCTTACTAGCCTGGCGGTTTTATATGGTGCCGCCCACGACGTCGCCCACGAATAAAAAAGACGACGTCTTGCGCGACGTCGCTTTGTAAATTATATTTTGGCTACAGTTATAACGGGCGACGTCATGGGCGACGTCTTGCGCGACGTCGCTTTGTAAATTATATTTTGGCTACAATAATAACGGGCGACGTCGTGGGCGACGTCATGGGCGACGTCGCGGGCAACATCTGACTATATCGAGTTGTTATCGGCCTCTGAACGTGGCTGACCAAGGTTACGTCTAAAAGAAGAATCGTTAAACGAAACAGGATTTAAAACGCAAAAAATGCTTCAGTCACTCCCGATAAACATATCTGTCGACCCGAAAATGTTTTTACACCTATATCCAATCAAATACCACCCTAGAAGGCCACTGTTCATTGTTTTTAAGGCATACCCATCTGCAAATAAAACGATCTCTTCTCCACACTCTAAACATAATCGGGGTGGTGGGGTAGCCTAGTGGTTAAAGCGTTGGCTCGTCAAGCCGAAGACCCGGGTTCGAATCCCCACATGGGTACAATGAGTGAAGCCCATTTCTGGTGTCCCCCGCCGTGATATTGCTGGAATATTGCTAAAAGCGGCGTAAAACCAAACTCAGTCAGTCAGTCAGTCAGTCTCTAAACATAATCACCGCCACTATTGTTCGGTCCGGCATACCTCGGGCCGTCAAAAGCAGCTTAAACCTCACACATGTATCTTCAATTGCGTTTTAATTCACAGATTAGTATTACATCTACCTATATATCACTTTTCCAGTCCTTTTCTCTCTCCATTTTCACCCGTGAAGGTCCGGATTAAAAAGTGCCTTCAGTAACCCATGCTTGTCGTAAGAGGCGACTAACGGGAGCGGGTGGTCAGGCTCGCTGACTTGGTTGACATATGTCATCGGTTCCGAAATGCGCAGATCGATGTTCATGCTGTTGATCAGTGGATTGTCTGGTTCAGACTCGATTATTTACAGACCGCCGCCATATAGGTGGAATATTGCTGAGTGCGGCGTAAAACTAAACTCACTCACTCTCTCTCACTTCCATTTCAACATAGCCCTCAATCAAAAGTGTTGTTCTGTTGGTTTTTACTTGTTCGGGCTGTCAAAAGCAACTTAAACCTGACACATATGTATCTTGAAGTCTCACAGATGAATCCTAGATTCTGTTTACATCCACGAATATAGTTATATCTATCTAAATACCACTTTATAGACCCAGTTTTCTTTGTAACATCACAATGTGGCATTTAGGTAGATATAATACTGATCTATGGATTTCAACACATTTCAAGATACATGTGTGAGGTTTAAGTTGCTTTTGACAGCCCGGGCCAAGTCGGGCCGAACAGACTGAACACTTTTGATTGAGGCTATTTTGAGGGTGGGCAGACAAGGGCTTCACTTTAACGGACCAGTTACCTTTACATGTGGCATTTTGTAACATTTCAATGTGATATGTAGGTAGATATAATACTAATCTATGGATTCAAGCACAATTAAAGATACACCTTTGAGGTGTTAGGTGCTTTTGACGACACGAGCCAAGCCGGACCGAACGCTTGTGACACAGTGTGTTTGTTGAGAATATATAGAAAAGAAGGATTCACTTCGAGCAAAGTGTTTGCTTAAAATACTACGCTTTGCGACTCTATAAAGAAGTATTTAGGTAGATATAATACCATTTTGCCTTTCATGTGTACTAGCAACTTTAAGCATATGCCTACGCGCTGGCTATCGGATTTGGGCTGGTGTTGTTTACGGTTAAGAATACAATGAAAACACATAAAAAAATTGTGTGTGTAAATGTATACTTTCTTTGATCCTTTATAACATATTACAAAAGGTTGTGATTTAATATATTTCTTTTAACATATATAATCATGTCATAATTTCCCATATGATATGGGGAGCAAATTATTTCGAAGCCATTGAAAATGTCCATGCATCCTATTTTAAAAGATTTCTTACAGTAGGTACATCTGCTTCCAATAAAGCCATACTTGGCGAAACAGGACGCTTTAACATGCATATTGAGAGTCAAATGAGAGTTATTAGATACTGGATTAAACTTATAAGAATGCCTGATTATCGCTAGCCCCCATCAAAGTTATCAAATATTGTTATCACTGGATAAATGTGGAAAGTCTTGAATCTTATTAATATACAAAAAGATGAACTCACTTCTGAAAAAAGTCTGACATTAACGTTTGTTTCTGTGAATTTCCCTTACATTTATCCACAAATTTACGGACGCTTGCCAAGTGGGAAAAATGTTCGTTGTTTGTGTCTGGAACCGACTCGAGAAATTCCTCCAGTCCTTCACAGAACTTTATCGCTTCCGATACGGATGCTGGTGGTTTGACGGCAGGTGTGTCTCGTCTTCATCATCAGACGAGTCGTCGTTGTGACAGGTCCTGGG